AAAAGCAGATTCGAGATAACGCAATTCATTCCACATTTCGTATGCGTTGTCGTCCTCAGCCCAAATTACCATTCGGCCGCTACACTCCCCAGAGTTCCCAAAAAATGTACGGTGGATGTTTGAAGAAACATGATAATCAGTACTGGGTATTTCATTCAACATCATTAGCATCAAAGATTATTCGACCGCCAAATTATTCTGACATTCGATGCATGGTGGTTGTTTACAGACATCACTTTAGCTCCGTACTCCACCGCGCGTATCGAGAGTCAGCTAACGCATTTCACGAAGAACTTATTTTTACCGGTGGAACACCCTCCACCGACTGTCCAGTTTCACCGAAGCCTTCGATGTCATGCGCGCGGTAGCGTGCGGAGCTAAACTGGTAAAGGATAAAGCATTTGCCGTTGATCAATCCCTTTTTGGGATGCGGCACGCATTCTACTTCCATTTGTACATTCGTAGTGGCGTTTGAATGCGATGTGGCAATGACTTGCGGGGGCCAGCCGATGTACAAGTCAGTGTTTTTATCCTCCCAGACAAGTCTGGTACCAATTAACCGACCCCGGAGGGATGGAAGGCTTGGTTGGCCCGGGCGACTCACGACCCAGGATTTGATCCCCGGACCGCTCGCATTTCGTGCTTTTTTTCACATCTCTGAGAATTCTAATTATTCAGATGATTATCGACACCGAATGGGGAGGCTTCGGTGACAGAGGTGAAGCTGAGTATATACGCACGCAATACGACAAAATTGTCGATAATCGATCCGATCATCCTGGTAACTATTGGTAAGTTGAGATTCTCTATCGTTGATGAAACGTATTTTGCCCACGAATAGTTCAATTTTCAGTTTCGACAAATTAATTGCCGGTAAATGTATGGGAGAAGTGGTGCGACTTGTACTCGAGAAACTCTGCACGCTTAAAGTTAGTCTGTTACACATGAGTTTGGGTTTCAATCTGACTAGTAGCTACCTTTGAGAATTTCTTTTCGACTTGAGGTGCTCTTCAATGGGGATGGCTCGGATCTCCTGCACACTGTCGGTTCGTTTCCCACGAAATACATCTCCGAAATCTTTACGGTGAGTTCCGTTAGAACTATTCAGTTCAATCACCTCTCTGTTATATCACGTTTGAGTTGATGAAAAGGGTAGAGTAAGGAATAAGGAAAAAGATGTGGAACAAAGCTATTTGAGGATTGAAAGATCAAAGGCACGAAACTGGTAACTAGACCCCACTGGTAATTGCAGGCCGTATGAGATGGAGAGCTGTACTGCGAGATTACGATGGCGATTCCGCACAGCATGCATTGTGACAAAGAAGGTTCTATCAGTCTGCGATTAGTGCGCATAGAGCAGTAACGCTGTAGCCAGCAGCAGCGGCCAACATACTCTCTACTCGATCCCTCTTGCTAAGCGGGTTCTTGCGTACGTATCTTAGGCACTCTCTTTTCTTCAGACATACCTACCGCCTTCACACCAGAAAACTCCGTAATATCTATTCACCTTTCAACTCATTTCTTTGGGTTTATCGTTCACCTTGCCAGGGCCCGGTCGCGGCCCCACTCCTCTACCTTTCACTTGTTGAGAAATCTCACAAATTCTCAGCTTCATCCGCGCTTATCTTTATGAGATAAATGGAAGTGTTTGGAGAAAAGGTTGCTTCAATTTTTTGTGCCAATGTGGTGAACAGCGCGGAAGGCGCCAATAGTGACAGTATACATGCATACGCATGATTTAGTGTGAGTCAGAGGTGCCTCGTCAAGCAAACGTCGCTCTCCCCCACGTGCTAGAATCTCATATTGGCGCTTTTCGCACTTCCTGCGGCGTCCGCACCGTTCGTGATGTCTGCATGTCCCGTACCTGCGGAAAGTTTAAAAGCAACCAAGCACCTGTGGACACACCTATTCAGACTTCGGGTTGTGAACTGTTCGAGGTTTTGGACGTGAAGCTAAGTTTGCTTAATAGCTTTATCGTCTACCAGAACATCGATTTTTTCTTTAATCCGCCTATCAAGTCATTCGATTTTTTAAAGCGAAGAGCAATAATGATGACAAAAAAAGATATCCGTCATTCAATGACTACATCCAATATCGCTACAGAGATGACTGGGGGACGTACTCGAATACGAAACAAATCATTGAAGAATTGGGCATCGAGGATTACAGCTTTTCCGACCTTTTGGTTTTTCGTGAAGTTTGTTTGGTCGTCTCGCGACGAAGTGCAAATCTAGTTGCAGCAGGTAAGTCGTGCATGTTCGTCTCACTCGACACATCCGTACTGTTCACTAGACCTTGGGCAATGAACAGCAAGCTGGGGGCGGAGCGGTTTTGGATACGTCATTGACGGATGGAACCCCTCAGCGCTACGGGGTTGAAGTGGTGTGTCTTTTCAGCGCTGGGAGCGGTCAACAGAATCGCCCGAGAGTGGCGCCGTGCGCGGCCGATACATCCGTACCATCCGTACCCATGCGGCATCGCTACGCGGCTCCTTTCCGATTGGCGAGGCAATTTGAATTTGATGATTGGAGCCCAGCATAATCTATATGAACGCGGATATCGAAGCGAATCTGGAGCGTACAACCTTTATTCCTTCATGAGAGATGGGCGATCAAAGTTCTTCCAAAACTTTATCAACAGAACATTGAAAAAGCGGCAAGAAGGATTGAGAGAACTACAACTACCCGAGCATTGATTGAAACTGAGTGTCAAAGGGATGGGTCGACTTGATGTCCTTTCAAAATTCAAATTCAATGACGCTCGCAGAAACTGGTCTAGTGCAGTCGCGACGTCGCGACCACGACCAGTAGCGAGGGGCTCCGGACAATTCTATTGACATACACCCTCCCAGCGCCCTTCCACCGTTGACGCTCGATGACGTCATCACCGCTCCGCACTGCAGTCACTGCCTTTAAGATCCGCCGTGCGCGATATCATGAAGTGCTTCTCCCACACCAGTCACCAAGCCTATCATATTTTTAGCGATCGCTTGCGTGTTGAATCGAATACGTCGACCAAAAATGGTAGTTGCCATCGATGGCAGTACTTACAAATACCACCCATTTTTCGAACATTGGATCGCCGAAAAAGTAAAAGAGTTGCTGGACCCTACATTGAAGGTACCG